GGACATTAAAATCTTTCACAGTGTGACACACATTACTGGTTTTCTCCAGACTATATCCTAACCTAAAGACCTACATTAGTGTGGCATAGAGAGCGGGAAGTCCCACTTTGCAGAGGTCACTGAGGATTCATCTGTCTACCTTATTTGGAATCAAAACTGTGATGATTATTTTCAGACTCTGAAAGTGTGAGATTGCTCTGTAACCCCTGAGAGGACCACAATCCTTCCACAACTTAACACTGTCCTTCTCTTCCAAAGATCCTGTTTATACAAAAGTACACAACAAATCTTTGCATGAGATGCTACACATATGCCACATTCATGAAATGTTTTCTCCTAACCATGTACACCATCTATTCTTCACTGTGCTTTAACTGTCAAAAGTTCCCAGTGCACACACTGCTTGCACACCCTCTCTACATGTCTATCACTCTACAGAAATGGACACTGAAGAGCTAAGAGCTAAGCCACTCAGTTTGAATTGAGCAACACTGCTTAACATCTCTGCCAACAAGGTACTGCTCCTCCAGTATAGAGCAACTTGTGTCATTCACCTCTGATACACTTATATTGTAACTAGTTTTAGAACGATGACTCCCGAAGTACCTATTGGGCATCACCTTACAAAGTAAAGGGATTTCTCACGTTTTCATACCGAAGTGAAGGGAACCAAGTAGCAAAAGGAGGAGAGACTGGGAAACATAGAGTTAACTAGACAGCTGCTTTGGAAGGTTGCAAGCAAGTTGGAGGAATGCCACGAAGTTCGTTGGACATAAGAAACTGAGTGGAGGGGTCAGCCAGGACACTGACCGACACCACAACCTTCATCTTGAGCTTGTTATTCCAAAACCCAGAATGTCCTTGAAGACAGTCAGTAGCCACAGCAGGACTTTGTGCCCAGACAGCAGCTGGGGAAAAGTAGCTGGAAAAATGTTTGTGTCCAGTGAGAAAACACGGACTGTGCTTCTGCGTCTCATGCTGTAATTGTTTTGCAAGGCCGATATAAGGAAAACCAAAGGGCCCTCGGGGCTCTGGCCCTGGAGGTGTTGAGCCCTCTGCCATTTGAATTAAGCATTCCCGTGTTCCTGTTTACTTTCAGGTCTGAACTTCAACACTGAAGCTTTAAAGGAGATGGGTGACACAATTCATACATTGTGCATTAAGTACACAATTTACATACTTTTGATAATATTATGGGATTTCGTATTCTTTAAACAGAAAAAACAGAATCTCAGCATAATGGAATCATGGCTCATAAAATAGGGTCCAAAAGTGGGGAAAGACAGAGAAATGACAACTTGGATGTCCACCAGCCACCAATCAGGAACATAAAACAAAACAACACAACCTTGAAAGACGGCAAAGAGGATATAAAATGTTATGAATGTGGAAGCCGTGACCAGAATGCTCTGGGTGGCTCTGTTCTCTGCAGAGGTTCTCCAGGAAACACCAGTGCTGTGGATATATTGAACATTCTGCTTGTGCCGGTACAGAGAGACAATCATGGAGCCACTGGACCAGACCATGAGCACAGACAGTAAAACCTCAGGGAACATGAAAAGAGCTGCGTATAGTGAGCCTGTGACTTCATCACAACCTATAGTGGCACAGTAGTCAAAATCTGTTTTCCTCATTGTTATGTTTCTGCCCTTCCATTTGGCATACACATACACAGGGAAAATGAAATTCACTGTCATGTACAGGATCCAGTAGGTGGAAATGGATAAGCCAAGGTACTTTGTGGCTTTGGTTTTAAGAATCTTCCAGTAGGATTTCCTGGCACTGATGGTGATGGCCTGGAAGACACTCAAGAGGCAGGTGGTGCTGATGGACATGCTCCTGCCTTGTCTGTAAACATAGAAAATCAGTTTGCACACAAAATCACCAAAGAACTGCTTCAACCCAAAAGCTGCCATTGTGTGGGGCACTCCTTTAGAGAGAATGATCATGAAATTGGCTATGGTCAGGTGCATGAGAATCAAATCCGTGGGCTTCAGGATGCAGTGCTTATAGTACAGAACTAGGTAGTGTAAAAAAAGGCAGCCATTTCCCCAAATTCCGACTGCAGCCTGTGATAATAATACTATTTTTATTGCTAAATTCCTAGAGCTCATACTTTTTAAAAAATTTTTATTTTTATTATTTTTTATGCATATGAGTGTATTGCCTACATGCATGTGAGGGCACCCGTGTCGTGCAATGTCATGGAGGTCAGAAGAGGGTTTCAGATTCCCCTGGAACTGGAGTTAAGGACGGTTCATAGCTGCCATGTGGGTGCTGGGAATCGAACCCGGGTCCAGTCGGTGCTCTTAACCACTGAGCCATCTCTCCAGCCCCAAGTTCATACTTTTATCAGTCACATTTTCCTGTAAGTTGCTGCAGCAATCCTTCCTTACTTTGAGAAAACAGTCACTTTGTAGGTCTCCTTTGGGATGCACAACTGTGATCCTACAGTTTGCTCAGGGGTTTTAATCCGGAGTCCGGCTTGTATTCAGGACTCGAGAGTGAACCTGTGCAGCATAGCAAGTCCCTCTCTTGAAAAAACTATTGACTTTTAGAGAAAGTGTTGGAGCCACGGTTTTGCTCATATTTATAGTGAGGATCCCCAGGACAGTTCACAGAAAATTCAGCATTAAGGGTGGGGTGAGGTTGGCCTGTAAAGTGAGGTCAGATAGAAAGCAAGCATTTAGCATTTCCAGCATTAGCTAATATGGATATAGAGCCAAATTTGTTCACACTAAGAGCTAAGTCTTATCAAATGCCACACACAGACAGCCCCCCTAAACAACCCACATACTCACATCCATGTAGCAATAGGTTGGAATTAAACAGGTGTATCATGTGGTATCCAGTCTGAAACTCTAACGGGAAACCCCAAAGAGCAAAAACAGGCAATAGAGTTTCAAACACATATGACACAACTACCATTTGCTTTCATCGTAGTAGAATCATAAGTGAACTGTGACAATGGCAGGAAGTATGATTGAGGGGTGACGAGGCTGCTCTGGAGTCTTACCCAATGAGAAATGAATGTTCACTCAGGTAGAAAGACTCTGCAAACTGTGTGATATTGTTTACTAAGTGGAACATACACAAGACTCTCATGAGTAGGCACAAAACTCTCTTCCATTTCTATGACCAAAGATAACATATTTCAAATTCACACAATATTTATAGTCACCGCAGTTTCAAAGAGAAGAGAGCGCACATGCTCCTTAACACCATGGTGATTTGTTTAACCCTTTGTGAGTCATATGATACAATGTTATAGAGCCAAACAAACGAACACCAGGGATGAAGTCACAACAGTTATACCAAATGCAAATCAGGTGAATGTGCAATAATCCTTCCTATGATTCCATTTATGTGACATACACAACAGGTCAGAGCTTATCTGTCTCTCAAATTTTGGGATAAACATGAGCCAGTGTTGAAACAGTTTGCCTCCCACAAGTAACAGAGAACTCTGAAACAGTCACAATAGCGGTTTCTGAGAGACTGACAGTGCTGTCTTTTCCTGTGTCCCGTACTGAGCGTGCTACATCTGTGAAATTCCACTGAGCAGCGTGCTCATAATTTCTATATATTTCTATAAGTAAAAGAAGCATATGATACCAAAAGTGGACTTGATTTCAAAGAAGGCTGCTTCTTAAGAATGGTTGTGCTGCTGCTGGTGTCTGTATGTTGTGAAATGTGGGAAGCTTCCATGAGCTCAAGCATGAAGCACCCCACTTCAATAATCATGTTCACTATATTTGTGAACTTGAAGTTCTGCTGTATCTTGAGTCTATTGTGATGTCTAGACACATTCGCAAGAAGATGGTGCCGAAGGGCCAACCCTAACAGCTTGCTGTGGATAGAAAGAAGTGTGCTCAGAGGCTTTGTCAAAATGCTTCAACCTAAGAGCTGCCGAGGCCTTGGAGACACATTGAAAGACAATAATTAGGAAGTGGCTGTGTCCTCATTGTCTCAGAATGGGATATAAGGTCCTCAGCCTACGTTCATTGTATTGAAGCAATTTTCCTTAAATTAAGAGCTAGTTTAATCATGTGACATGAGGACTAAAAATACCCAAAATTTCATTTATACTCAAACATGAGGACTATTATTAAGTCCACATCCTGCAATCACTACATCTGTTTACAGTGACTGACCTTTGTTTTCAGGACCAGAGAATTCTGCAGAGGAACATCCAGCATGAACCCATTTATCACATGAGCTGAAATCCCATATTTTCATTGCTGACTATTCACTCTATTTAAAAAAAAAGAATTCTGTGAGGTAAGTTGCAAATTACAAATAGCAAACTACAAATAACACTTACAATTGTTAAATCAATTTAAATTCTTGTAAGTTGATACTCTTGATTTTTCTATGAAGTGCACAGCAGCATCATCTGAATCTCTAGACAAAATCTCAGAAACAAACAAGTTAAGTAAGTATGTAAATTCATAGATTGCTAAGGGATAGAGGGGAGACAAAGGCAGCCACCTCAATCAGGGCTTATATAGCCATGCTGGCCATGGTTTCAAATACACACATACTGAGATTGCTTCCTGAGGTTGCTGTGTTACTTACATTGTTTACATTTTATTTTCTGAATGGTTGCAATGATTTTCCTTTGGGCATAAATATTTGTTGCATAAGCCAACATCAAATGCAAATATAACCTCAGATACTCAATAAAACGTGTTCAAATGTAAGTCTAATCTGTCCTGAGCCTATTTGCATTTAATCCTTTGGCAATAAATTCAATATTTATGTTGTCAGCAGAAATATTAATTTCTTATCATTCTGAGAACAAAATCATAGTCATACCTCTCAAATAAAGTCCTTCAAGGAATATTGTTTTGACCCAAATCAGGGAACATGAAAAACTACTAGTATGCAAAAAAGTGTAGGATAGAAATAAGTTATTACTAATTGAGGGTTAAAAGTTAATATTGTACATTACATGCATGAAATTCTCAAGCAAAAAAAGCTCACATTCACTAATACATGATTAAATGAAACTATTATGAACTATTAATAACGGAGCACAAGAAGTCATTTGGTTGGACTTCATATTAGGAAACAGGTATGCCAGAGGTAACAACACACGACATCTATAGGCCTCATAACGTCCATCTATTAATTGTAATTGTAGTGCTGGGTTTCGCTTCAGCATGGGGGCACAGGTTTAAGAGAGAAAATGCTGTCACCAGTGTCATCACGCACCCGACTTTTCCAAGCAGACTTAGCGACTGTATAAACACACAAACATCCTGGCTTCTTCCCAGGCTATGTTGATTCTCATAACTCCAGTCTCATCTTTTTTACAGGTATGCAGTCCCCAAAAGACACCTGTAATAATAAAACTGAAAAAAGATCGATGACATGAACATCTAGGTTCATTCCTACAAGCCCTAAGCACCTTAAAACTCTGACTTTGCTGCCATGGGATTCCTGGCTAATACTGAGGAGGGGTGTCTTTCTCTTTACTGCCTCAGCTCTTAACCAAGGGATTCTACCTCTCCCTGTCTGCTTTTGCACCGAGTCTGTGTCTACACAGAAAAGCTTTATTTCAGGCACGAGCACTTAATCAGACCTCTTGCTTGCTTGCTCTGCACCTCATACAGAAAGACCAAATATTCACCTGAGCTCCTTCTGTCTTCAGAGTCTTCAGCTCAGTGTACAACTGTCGACCTGACAGCCAGCAACGAGGGAGAGGAGGCCTCTCCAATCTGAGATAAAGTCTGTGACGCCATGACCTCACCTCCCTCCAGATGAAATTTTCATTTCACTGACAGTGGCAATGACAGCGCTGATCTGGGAGCCAAAAACTTTTCTAAAACTTTTCAAGTTGCTAATTGCCAAAGCACCTTACGCGTTTGAGTTTCTCCAAAGGGACAAAGAGTCTTGAATTGTACCTTAAGTTTTCATGATCCTTGATGTTTGGCAGGGTCTCCCGAGGGAAGGCAGGCTGTACCGAGGTCTGTTTTCTGAGACTTGCCGAGGCTTGCATGTCTAATTGGCTTCCAGGCCTCAGTGAGTTCTTCTTCCAAAACTCATGTTACTATTTAATTTTCAGATCATTGTTTCTACCCTCCTATTAAAATCCTTGGCAGAACACCAGCAGGCAGTGTTGGCAAAATATAGCCAAGTAAACCTGACCGAAATGAACAGGCACAATGTCCACATAGGGTCACCACCACTTTGGCCACCTGCATGTATGGTTGCCCTGACCACTAGTGAGCTTCAAAATGCATAAGAAGACTGTATAAAGTCACTTACAACTGTTCTCAAAGTAGCAGTTCATTATTGATAGCAAACATGGGTTAAAATTGGCCGAGGAAGAAACATATGAGGGCAGGCTCCATGAAAAGTACCAAGTTCTGCTCTCGTGGCCTCCGTCTTGTATCCAAGATGTACTCTGCTCCTCACACAGTGTGGGATGGACCTTATGAATATTGTTAGGTAGAGAGCTATGGTGTTAATTTTCTCCAGAGTCTGATCATATTCTGTCCATATGTCTGACAATTACTCCTTTGGGGATGAGCTGTGACTCATCCAAGATGTAGGTCATCAAGATTTTTCATAAATGTCACTGCTAGACTGTCCAATGTTCAGGTCCCCAAGCAAAAACTGACCCAGCTTTGAAGCATGATATTCTAATGGCTGGAGGTGATTCTCAATTGCTGTTATAAGAGACTAGAGCACACACACACACACACACACACACACACACACACACATGTGAGACACTATAATGTGTCTCTACACAGTAAACATGTTTTCTGCTGTAAGCTCACTCACAGAAAAAGGAGCATGTTTGTGTAGCTAGCTGTGTTTTGTATACCATTGACAAAAAATCCTCAGCTTAGCATCATGTCAGTACCCTTAGTATGTGGAGACGGGCATGCAGTGCAGCCATCAA